AGCGAGATAGCTAAGAGAACAAAATGACACTTGGGAGAACCAATAAAAACTCGATGTGGATCCGAGACGAATTCAGTAGCTCGCAGATCAGAGTAGAGATGATTGAGTAACCTGGCAACAAACACGATCATACAACAAATTTTCAGAGGTTTTTTTTATTTTTTTGGGTTGAGCTTAAGATGGTCAAAAAAAATCAAGTAATAGAGTAGCATACTTGATCTTACAAATAAGAAACAGAATAAAGATAAAATCAAGATAATGCATGTTTTTTTTTGGTCTAGTTTTTCAGAAGGGTTCAGAGGGTCAATGAAAATATCATATTAGAGTGGCGAGGTGAGATTTCGGAGCCATTTTGATCTCATAGTTTTTATGGTGTTTCAGACTTTTTTTTTCTTTTTTAAGACAAATTTTTAGAGGGGTTTACTAACAGATTTGACTAGGACAAGGCGAATGGCTGATTTTCCACAATTTACAAAACTGGTAGGCCACAATTTGAGTCAAGCGAGAAACCATATGTATCACCAAGAGTTGCAAGGCCAAATGAACACAGTGGATCACCAAAAACAATATAGACTTCAAACCCAAACTCATTGTTTACCTTTTTGTCAGAGAAAACAAATGGGCAAGGTTGTAAACGAAGAAACTAGGAGTAACAGAGGAGGGTGGCAAGTACATGGAGAGAGGAGGGCGGCAAGTACATGGAGAGGAACAGCAGCGGCATAAAACATTGGCAACGACTCGACAGAAATTTAGAAGTCGATAGTAGGGCTCAGAAGGATCAATAGAGAATCGAAACACGACCTAACAAAGATGGTTGTTGCTCTAGTTGATATGGATCATGCTTTTGTTCTACCTCAACATTTCATCTGTCTGGTTCAAAGGAGAATGGATAGGCAGCAATGAGAGGAAGAGCAGAAAAATCAATCATCCAAGAAAGGGCATGAGGCTAAACAAGCTGTTCTAAACAGGGCAACAAGCCCTCGAATTGGGGGCTAGCAAGACAGGTGGAAGCTTGAAATCCATGGAGGATAAATCAAATCAAGTAGAAAAGGATGGAAAAGGTGGTTCTTACAAACTGCTGGTTCTGACAGGGAGATAACAACTGGATATCTGTTAAAGAAAAGTGCAAAAACTAGTGGTTGGAGTATGCAATGGTTTATGGACTCTATGGCCATCACTGTGACAACCCAAACTTTTCCCGACCAAGTAAAAGGCATGGCAGGATGGGGAGGCTGAAGTTGAGAGCCAGTGCCGGGTGGAAATTGGAGAAGAGGCCATCGCCGGTTGGAAGGGCCAGCGCCTGGTGGAATTGGAAAAGAGGCCAGCACCGGATGGAAATTTGAGAAGAGGCCAGCGCCGGTTGGAAGAGCCAGCATCGGGTGGAATTGGAGAAGAGGCCAGCGCCGGGTGGATTTACGTGCAGCATCGGCTGTGTCTCTGACATGCATGAATTGTGTTTGCCACTTGTTGAATGCATGTTATTTGAGTGCCACATGTTCAGATTTTACAGTCTTTTGGTCACACTTGACCGGCCACCTCAACCCAAGAGTACTTAAGCCCCCTTCCTCATCCGTGCCACTCATTCTTAATTCATTTTTTCTTTTTCTAAGACACAAGGTTGGAAGAAGTGACTGTCGGTGGGCAGCCATTGTTGGGTAGGTGAGAGTTGTGAGGAGAGGAGTGGAGAAGTCATCAATGTTGTTTAGGTAAGTGGATTCATCACTATTGCATGATAGTCGTAAGGATGCACAAAATTTATGCATATAATATGAGAATGAAAGTGTGTGTGATGTAAGAAAATCCTTATGCTTTTTTATTTAGAAATTGGGGTTTTTGTTCTATGATGAAAGTGAATGCTAAGACCCAATGCATGATTCTTAGTTTACAAAATAAATTCATGTTATGTGTGTATATTATGAGTATAGGGTTGTTATCATGTTTCCCCACCATGAAGTAAAGGCCATGGAATGTGTTCTTGAAATATGCTATATGCCACTGCGAAATTTCAGGAACATGTGTGTTCTTGGATGAGGCTTTTGAACTACCAAATGGGGTCTGATTGACCTCAAACCACTACTATTAGAAAGAAATATGAATCTAGAAAAATGCCCATTGTCTAAATTATTTACAAAAATGAAGTTATATTTCAAAATGGGAAGGTATATCACCGTGGACTGTTTTTCTGAAATTTTCACTAATACCATTGTGGTCACTGATTTTAATTCATCAAACAATGTTCATCTTTGGGCAACCCACAACTGTTTGAAAGATCTATGAATGGGCTAAAAGTTGCATGGGAAAACCATTTTGAAATTCCTTCTAGATTGAGATTTATACTCCGTGTTATGAAGATATGTCACTGTTGGCAGGCAGTGTTAACTTTCAGAAATATCACTCTAGTTGAACTGAGGTTTTGTTTGACCAAATGGAGTCCAAATGCTTCCAAACTGGCTTTGATAGAAAGATATACGTCTTAGATTAAAATTTGATTTTGAAACCTTCTTAAGTTACTTCACGGTTTGAATGTTATGCTGATATGAAATAGGATATATCGTTGACCACTGTTCACAACAGGGTGCAGCTGGTTAACCCTCACTGTTTACAACAGGGTTAAATTGGAGAGGTCAGACAGGGTTCAATTGTCATGAAACCACTCCCATTAGAGAGGTAAGTGCGTTTGGTATAAAATCGGCTTTGAAACCATTTCCAAACTCTGAATGGACCAAAAGTTATGACCCACCCAAATTATGAGTGCGCATTGTATAACATGCCTTTTTATGATATGAATGCATGATAATGAAGTCATGCTTTGCTATGACATGGAAGCAGAATGGCATGACTTTGGTATCATGTTTATGCTATATGTAAATTGATACCTACTGTGTGAATGATGGTATCATGTTTATGCTATATGTGAATTGATACCTACTGTGTGAATGATGGTATCATGTTTATGCTATATATGAATTGATACCTACTGTGTGAATGATGATATCATGTTTATGCTATATGTGAATTGATACCTACTGTGTGAATGATGGTATCATGTTACTTATGCTATATGTGAAATGACACCTACTGTGTGAAGGATGGTGCTGGCAGCTGCGATTCTTCCCTGACTCCCCATGATAGGACGAGATTCAGGATGCGAGTAGTTAGGTGGGTCACGCCCCCAAGATCTATGTGGATCACTACGCATTGGGTCGTCTAATGTATTATAACGCCCTCTCGCCCAAAAGGGTGCAAGGAGAGGGTAGTGTCTTGCAAGGCCTCTGCCTATCGAAAACCCCAAAGCGCGTTGGGGATGAGTGTGTGTGTGAGGGCCTTACATAGTGGGTTGTCCACTTGTCATGGTCCACCCTCCTAAGTGAGGGTAGAAGTCCCAAGTTTAAGATTGGCTTAGCTTGACCGATGTGACTTCTACTTCGAGAGTAATTAGATCTGTTGTTTGCCTATCTTATCTTAGGTTTTCTTTATGAACTTTTAACTGTATCTGTAAATTGTTGTTCTTACTACTCTGCTTCAAGTAAGGTGATTGTGACTTATATATAATGAACTACCTTTATCATGTCACTGCTAGAATATTGTGAAGCATGTTGAGAAACATCATTTGATACATTTGGATAGATATGTACCTATGTGCACGGCATATTGTTGTCGCTATCATGCTAATTAGAATACAATGGTGTAGATCTACTTACTGGGCTGTTAGCTCATTCTATCTTATTTTCATAACTGTATAGTGAAGGGTGGTGGCACCTGGGCTCAAGGTGGGTGGCAGTTTTGGGGTTTTGAAGTTGAATTGAAAAGTTTGAAAACCCATTCTTTGAAGACTTCCATTATATGTTTTGGTGATTACAGCTTTTTGATGTATTCTATATGTTGTGTATTTTGGGCTAGTAGTGCATTGAAGAAGAATTGTAAAGACTTTTGATAATAAGTGAATGAAACGACTATACCTTTTGGTTGGATTTACGTCTGACGGATGGTTTTATTCTAGCTTTCTTTCTTGGTTTGCTCTTTATTCTGCGTTTTCATGCGTTGAGCCACTTCAGCCCGAGTGACGTTCGCGACCTTCGGTCGCAATCCCGCACTCAGTCGTCCTCCAGTAAGAGTCAGGGGGATGGGTTGTGACAATCACATAATTAATAAATTATCTCTCGATGAACTTCAAAAGCTCTCTAGTCAAATGGATGGCTTATTGCAAAAATCAGAGAACGTGATCAATTTCTAGAGAGAGAAAGACAACATCAGAGGGCACATGAGCTATCAAAGAACATATCAAGAAGATCCGACGGTATCATGGTTCAATCAAACGGGTTTTATGACTCAGTCCAACTGGATAGGATCAAGGAATAATTGAGTAACAGATTCGTCTTGAGAATTGAAGACAACGCTTTAAGGATGAGGAATAGAATGACGAAAAATCTGGCTTTGATACAATGTGAAGAGTCTCAAGTTTTCCTGAAGAGACTCGGTGTCCATTAATTGATATGAATGTACAAATTTGTCTTTTATAGATAAATTATAGAAATAAAACACATGCATCTAAGCTATACCCAGACTTATCATAAAATACATGATATTGAACCTACTATTCCTATACTTATTGGTTACAACATATAGCTTCCATATTAACCGGATATACAATATATATCTTCATTTCATAACCTTTTGGGGATCTCAAGTGAGCTTTTGGTGATCTTTGCTCCCAACTTTAAATGATATATATAGCTTAGGACTCTATATAAGGGATCTTTAGTAAGCAATGCAACTGCAACGATATGAAAAGTACATTTGCATTTCAAGCTGCCTATACATAAAGGAAATTATTTGTTTGGTGGTTAGCTTGGTCTATAAAGTAGAGATTGGGATCCCTAATAGCATGGGACCGAGATCCCAAATTTATAAACCACCAGAGGTCCCTTTTTTGGGGCTTTGACCATACTCTTAAAAGAAAAGGAATCATCGTGTAGGTTGGAAGATCTTAGCATGTTAACAGAGAAAAAGGCATTAAATCCTCATAGAAATGCATCTTTTATTAAGGGAGTTGTAGAGACATTGTCAATTCCGTAATTTATGGTACACAGCATGGGAAGCATGGACCTCATCTCTTGTATAGAAACTAAGGGGGAGGAAGAAGGGGTATATCTCAAACCGCACTGAACAACTGCTATAAAACACCCGACACCCCTTCTTCCCGTCGCAGTAGCCGCCGCCGCCGAAGTTCGAAATAGCAATGGACAAACACTGTGCACATTGGAGCTTAGGCAAGTCTTGGGTGCACTGTACCAACCCATAGATGGTCACAAATGGTGCGAACTTGGTCTTTCCACTCCCAAAGCCCTTGTTACCGGGCTCCACTGCCTTCGCCGTGATCTTGTCCATCAAATCTCCGAGCTCCTTTGCAAACCTCTCCGGTTCTGTTACATTCTGTACGTTCCAATAGAAGATACCATACCCGGTATCCAGTTCTCCCATGAAATCATCAGTGTCATAACGAAGGAAACAATTGTCAAACCATATTCTCGCATCGGCTTCGTCGGGGCAGAGCTGGCGGATCTGTTTCGTCGCGTCACTCGTGCAAGATGAACAATCTTTGGGGCTAATGTCACCTCTGCACTGGAGGAGCCCATACACTCTCTCTTTGCCTTGGCCTATTGAGGCTGTGGCAAACCCGTTAGACGGGCCTTTAGTTTCCAGTTCCGATAGGACTAAGCCGATGTTGGTCATTGTGGATTTGTCTGAGATTTTCTTGTTGGAATTGCAAAATTCTCCTGTATGATCGGATCCGAGAGAGAGTTGGAGGAGAGCCAGGGTGAAGAGAGTGCAGAGAAGAAGTTTGGCCATTTTTGCAGGGAACGTGGTCTCTTCTTGATTTTGAAGTGGTATTATACCAGCTATTTTTGCAGGGATCGTGGTTTGTTCTTGATCTTGAAGTGGTATTTATTTTATCAGCTTTTGGTTTGAGTAGTGGGAATTAATGGTGGGCAACCCACTGCAGCCATTATTGACTTGATTATATTGGTGGACTTTTACTGGTGCAAATGGCCAAGGAGACTTTGAAATTTTCTCCCTCTCCCAATTTCTGATTATGTCTAATTTTTCGCACAATCGGTGCTGAAAAATCATTTGTACCGTATTGAGTGGATTTGGTCTAGGTACATTAAAAAAAAATAAAAAACGTTTAAGAAATAATAAAATAATCTCTAAAAAAAATCTTTAAAAATCAGAAAAAGTTCAAATGATTAACAATTATTAGGAGATTAAATGAGATCTATTTTTTTAAAAAAAAAGGCATAAAAGATGGATTACTGAAAAATTGGATTTATAGCTGGCATATTTCTGAAAATTTTGTTTTTTAAAAAAATATGAAAGTTTTCAAAGGATCTTAAAAACTATCAAAATTAATGAAGTATTTACGATTAGACAAGGGTTTCCTTGTATTTTATTTTCTTTTTAACATTTTTAGCATTATTTGTGCCCGACGTGTTGTAATTCATTTGAGTGTAAGTTCGGCCAAGTCCCTGCATACTGGGCTTCAAAAAAGGACCACAAAAAAAAGGAAAAGAAAATAAAAATAAAAATAAAAAAAAGGTCACCGGGCAAAATTTTCATCATTCAAGAGTGTAAACCTTCATGAAACATTTGCAGTATGTTCGAATATCCTGCAGCAGGAATCATGAACGATTAGTTGGCCAAAGTATTTGCGAAAAGAAAATTTGAAAAGCAAAAATCTGGAATCGTATCCTTTTCTCCCTTTTTTTTCTTCTTTTTATTTTATTTTATATATATATATATATTAATCCATATAGGAAAAGTTTTCGTAACATCTACGGGCGAAAATGAACAGTGATTCGCCTACCTCATCACCGTCTAAAGTTTATCGTATGATCACGATTATTTGATAATATTTCATTTTTAGTTTTTTTTTTACAAATTAGAATGATTAAAAATTTATAGCTTGTGAACATCTTAGTGAGGCGTAC